CCCGTGAAGTTAACGGGACATAGAGAATCCGCCTCTACAAGCATTACTTCTTCATGCATTCCTTGTATAGGCATGCTTTCTGCAGTCGATAACCGCAGATTATTTTGTACATATGTTTTGTACGTGTACTTGATTTTAAGACTAAAGTTTGTCTTTCAGTGAGCTTTAAATGCAAAATGATGCAATAAGTATTAATTGTTTGGAGGTGATCCGAAGTTTAACTATATTGTTCGTGTTTGTTCGGAGATTGATATCCCTTGTGGTAGATATTTTTTGAGTAAATTAGGGTTACCTGCATTGCAGGATACGGTGTTCGGCCGCCTCTTTCTCTTTCATCTGTCCGATTTTTGGACTGGTTGATGCCTCAGATACAATTTATATATATATAACTAAAATAAGAATTGTTTTGGTGGACTTTTGTAAACCACATATTCCTAGACAACAATGTCAGATCAGGCACTAGTGTATTTGTTTGGCCATTCTTTTCCGGCGAGACTCCTACGAGAGTCTCGTAGTAGCCATCAGTGCGTTGTTGATTATGTAGGGCTAAGTAACAAGTGCGACTTGTTCGTTGAAGGGCACCCAGGCCTGACGTATGACAGATTTTTCGCAAACAGTGGACACTATTGTCAGAAAATGAGTTCAAGACCAATTGACATTTTGTGCATAGATATGGGCACAAATGATCTTTGCCAACAAGACATAACTCCACTAGTTCTAGTTGATAAAACCATTCAGTTCCTGGATACACTCACCCTTCATGGAATTGCTCCTCGATGCATTGTTATGTTTTCGGTCATTCAAAGGTCCAGGCTGTCCCGATCTGGTCAGGTCGCACTCACAACGTTCAATCATAGAGTGAGACGTTTTAACTCGCTCTTACCTCGCAGGATGCGCGCGTACCCAAGAGTGCACGTGTATCAGCAAAGACGAGTAAACTATCCTCGATACCTAGTGGATGGTTGCCATCTGACCTCTGATGGCATGCACAAATACCGTAGAAGCATTAAGGAAGTAGCTCTTCGTTACCGACGTAGGTAAATGTAAAATCTAAGCTTATTTGGTTGTATTCTTGGCTCAAAGGTCCCACGGGTGATGTAAAAGGAAAAAAATGTGCCTTTATTGCTAAATAACCCGAAGTCTCTTATGCCTGATGTGTGGTGGTAACAGTGATAAAATTCAAAAGTTTTAAATCAGTATTGTCCTGATTTTGTCCATATTAAAGGAATCCCTTTTGTAATCCAAATCTTGACATTTTGCAGTAAAAAAAAAAAAGTCTCTTAGCACATTTAGATGTATGTAGAAAAAAAAAAAAAATCGATATTTTAGGCATTGCTTTATATAAATGCTGCCTATTAACAAAACATTGTATTATGATCTGAAATCATCAAACTCTTTTTGCAAATTGTTTTGTGGACTATTTCATTTTCCACAACTCGTCTCTAGTTTTAAATGATTTATTCTCATTCTTGTGAGTAAACCTGTTTATGCTGTATAATAACATATTCAGTATCTGCAGCTCTGATTCACTATGAAGTAATAACAAAGCTGTGTGGATGGTGAGTTGTTGCTTCCATTTTGAGGGTTAAACCTCAAGCATCCAAATTCCACATTGTTTGGTATTAAAGGCTATTGTCTTACACGTTTAAAGGAACCTAATCAGCGTTTAAAAAAAAAAACTATTAAATTGTTTTCATAAAGTTAAGAAGTGTTTATAACTGCTAATTTGCTAGTTTTACCATTTGATGTTCTGACAAGTTCACTTTCATTGTGCATGTACCATGCCAGGTATTGATTCTCTTAATAGTGTTCCGCAACCACTTTTATTGTGTACAAATGTATTAAAGAAGGAATAATGTTGATATACGGGTGAATAATTTGGACATCTTTGAAATTGTAATTGAAAGTTTGATATTTACTTAATTGAACCACTCGTGGTCGAGGGTTCTTAAGCAGGGAACTTGTAGGGATCATGAATATTGATAAGCGTCTTCTGACGCTCCGCCCACTTTTCTCTCTCTCATCGTCTTAATGCGTTCTTGTGAGCTGCCTCTTTGAATTTATGCCCAAAACACATCATTTTACAAGCTCCAGGAATCGAGCCAGACAACCCACACATACCAGGCTAACAATAATCAACTACTAGAAGCTCTGTAGCCTCCCCCACCTGAGAATTTACATTTGTATAACTGCACATAGACGAGGTGCTGGGTTTTTAATTTGCTGGGATTAATTTGCTGGAACTAATTCGCCAGGATTATCTTGCTGGGATTATTTACTGGAACTAGAATAAAAGCTCAGTGAACATCAACATTTTGTACAGTCTTCCTTACCGAGGCATCAAACCTCAAACCACGTGGGCTGACCGCTCACGTAAAAGCGGAACCAACGCACACGCGTCGCTTCACTTCATTAAAAAGGGGAATTAGTAATCGTTAATTTGTAGTGCAACACAAGGTAGGTTAGCTGTTTGAAAGTTTCTCCCCAAACTCATCGTACCTTTCTTGCTTTCATCATGTCTGAACTCTTTGACGGCATATTTACAGCTATCTTTGATTTCTTCACCAACTTCTTGCGACGCTTCCCTTTGTCTTTCTTTTTCTTGGCATGTTGCTATGGCGAATGTCTCTGCCTTTTCTGTTAACAAAGACTGATTAAATATAAGAGGACGTCTTATCATTATGGTGATCAATAGTTTTGTACTTATTACAAGCTCATGAGTCACAGTGAACATAAAATAGTCAAAATCACCAAACCATTTATATTAATACATGCATGTCCACAGACCATAGTACGTCTTTTTAAACATTTGGACGTCATCTTTCACAAAAATTCCAAGGTCAACACAAACCCACACCACTTGGACCCACACCAATTTGGCGATTCTGTATTCTGTAAGTTCTTGTTCTGGAAGAATAGCTATGCCTCAAGTACGGTTACGACAATAGCAGTGGCTATCATTATGGCAGTCATGGCAGTTGACAGTCTGTTCCCTGACCTGACAATATTCAAGGTCAGAATATTTCTCTTGGAACCAGGCTATCAATCGAATGGTTCTCGGACTTTATTTCCCTTTAAACAAAATCCTCCAGCACTGATATTAATAACAAAGAAGAAAATGAAATCTACTTAAATAAAAAGAACGATTCGATTAAAAATAGATAGTGGATATATTGCCGGCGGCAATCCCCATCAACAGAGGGCGCTGTACTCTCTAAGATAGGGCTGAATTATAAGATATATTAAATTACCACCAACGGTTGTGTAGCACCTGTGGCCTTGTGGATAAACATGGATCTCGTATGCGGGAAGATCCGGGTTCGATCCCCGCTGGCAAAATTTTTAAGGTTTTTTTTACCCATCCCCCAAAAATAAGAATACTCTTCTTTTATTATTTTAACATGTCTCAAACATTTTATTGCAGAGTATTACATTTTCTTTTTCAGATTTGTGGCACTGGAGGATTTTTTTAAAGGAAATAAAGTCCGAAATTGTAAAAATGGTCTGATTCCCATCTTGTGAATACGAAGTTACAACAATAATGTGAATGTTGGCTTGGAGCCAGACTAAAATTTGTCACCAAAAACAGTAACTGCGCATGTTCAGTAGTCCAGTACATATCCGGCAAGCTAACGTTACTAAAGTTTTGCCGTATCCGGCTAAATATCCACTGCCTTAAAAATATAAAAGAAAAGAAAACTAACCATCAGACCATGCTAACTCTGTCATGACTGTTGTCTTGTCATTGACCATGTTGACATTTAGCCCCACTAGTGTGGCCGTCGGTATGCTGCGCTGAACCTCTGGCCACACACCGTGGTACCGCGCGCTACTGAGTTGCAAATGCGACGGCTGTTTCCTGTGCCGTAGATCCTGAATAGAGATCAGTGCACGTGGCCCCCAGACGATAAATGCATGGTACAGGAAACAGCCGTCGCATTGCAACTCGCGCCCTCGCTCGACAAGCAATTTGCATAAACGCAACTTCACAGCTTGAGGTCATCTCTGTCACATTCAAATGGCTGCCATCACCAGACGTTTCACGAGTGCATATGGGCTCCAGAAAGATTCAAGAATATCTTGGAAAATTGAACATCATTACACCCAAGCATCCCAGAAGTGAAAGTTGGGACATCATCGTAGAATACAACCACATGTAAGAAATTCGCTGTTGAAATTATGAAAACGTCCTCAGTAGTGCGCAGACCACGGTGTGTGGCCTTGGGTTCAGCGCAGCATACCGACGGCCACACTAGTGGGGCTATACGGCCGGCTGCCGTAACGATAGCTAGGCACTACAAAAACTTTAATATACACAAACATGTTGGTTGCCTTTAACAACTGTTTCAAAAATCTACACTAGGCCTACAAGCAACACCTTGACAAAGTTAAGTAGATCATGAGTTTCATTTTTAGTCTTTAAATTTGTAAAATGATAAATAATAATGCAACAAAACCAATCTTAAATTCCAAAGAACTTACCCCGACTTAAAAAGCGGGATTCCCCAAAATGTGAAATGACAGTTCAGTGATTTGAGTCTGGCACCATTAGCTATTTAGGTTACAAAGATCATGTTTGAAGTCTGGTTACCGAACTTATTTCCAAGCGTGAATTATAAGTAAAAAACTTCAAGTTTTACGATTCCAAACAGTAATACCTGGTACAGTAATTATGCCATTAAAATTAAAAACAAGAATCGTTTTTTTGAAACGACTTATTATTATTTATTTAAAAATTAATTTGCTGCATATTTTTCGTTTAACCTTAAACATAACCCCTAATTTTACTACGATATTGAATGTCTGTTATCCTGACTACCATAATGTATTTTGACACACACAACCAAAAACATTTGTCAGACACTGACTACACGAGCAGACGATCAGCTCACTGCATGCGGCATGCACTGGCTGCACTGGCTGCATGCGCAGCCGTGCATTAGCACTAAAACCCATCATCTCCTGTCAAAGTGTCATGATAAAACACGAAATCGTTAAAAATGGATGTGAATGTTCCGGATGTTGTACTTGTATTCAGTGGCAAGCGGAAATCGGGAAAGATTTTACAACTGATATTTTACTAGAGCGGTAAGTCATTGTAAAGTAGTGCAGGATTGGGGCCCGAAAAAAATTGTTACAAAACTAGCCCCATAAATGTGGCCTATTTACTGGACTGCCTCCGTAAACATAGGCCACACATCCACATGTACAAAAAACGTGTCGACTTTGCCAAATTTTGATTTCACATTTAGGCTTACTTTTTACGTTTTTTTTGCTTTAGAAGCATTCTCACCCTCTATATAGGCTAATTAGAAAGTGCTGCCTTTTTCAGATGTCCATTTTTCGTGAAATTTCCGGATACATTTGCACACGTTTGCGTATCAAAATTTCAACATGAAATTTCACAAAAATGAAACATCTGAAAAAGGCAGCACTTTCTGATTAGCCTATATAGAGGGTGAGAATGATTCTAAAGCAAAAAAATCTACAAAGTAAGCCTAAATGTGAAAATCAAAATTTGGCAAAGTCGACACGTTTTTTTGTACATGTGGCTGTGTGGCCTATGTTTACGGAGGCAGTCCAGTAAATAGGCCACATTTATGGGGCTATTACAAACATGCGCCGATGGCATACTGCCATGAGACTGCGCGGCGGGCCTGCCTCCCACGGATCCTTCGTGCGCCGCCTAATGACAAGTTAGCCAGTGAAGTGCGTGAAGTCGGCCTTCATATTGATCAAATCCTCATTTATTCGTTACATATTTTACTTTTACAGATTGGGTGCAGATTTGTGCGTAATACTGAGACTGTCTGGACACTCAAACTTCAATATGCGAAGGTATTTTGTCAAATTCATTATTTTTTTCCCTGCAAAGTCCAATCACCACTTTTAACGTTACAGCAGTACTGCCTGGGTCATTGCACTTTTGCACTGAGACCTGAGACCTATATGTTAGTAGAGAAATGATATACATTGTATTCTTAATGCACTGCTGCCTTTTGTCAGTGAGCAGGATCATAAGATTAATACATGTAGTAATGTTGGGTTGCTGGGCAGCAATCCATACCTCCTCTCCCACACACTTCCTTAATATATTTTAAAGTACATTTTCTAGTGTTTTTATGTGCATCTATTTATTTACCAGTCTGATTTTAGCTTTTAGGATCATTGTTCATTGTCGATTTTGTTTTAACTTTAATGTTTTTCACTATTGTAAAATGACCATAATTCAGCCTTCGGGCTGCCATGTGTCCTTTAAATGAAATAAATTAACCATGAATAATAATATTTGCTGGGAATTTCGATTTCATTGTCAGTCTATTGAGATCATATTTCATAAAGCTGTTATAGATCATACCACTTCTTCCTGTTAATTAAAAGAGTCGACGACCTTTATTTACCCATACCCTAGGAAAACAATTTGGACTTCAATAAGTTACTTGATGCCACCAGCTATAAGGAGGACCACAGGGCAAAGATGATCAAGTGGGGTGAGGAGCAACGCCAGAAAAACCCAGCATACTTCTGTGGTTTGGCTATCGAAGATGCATCACCAAACCACAAAGTATGGATCATCAGTGACGCTAGGAGCAAACTGATGTGGTGTTTTTCAAAGAGAATTACCCCAAGCAGACTGTCACTGTAAGAGTGACTGCAGATGACAGTGTCAGATTGGCGCGAGGATATGCTCATACCAAGGTAAATAATCTAAATGTAATTTAACCCTTAAACCCTACATTGAAGATGAAATGTGTTTGAGAAAACGTGAGGATTTTGGAGGATTGAGAATGAATGGTGTTGAAGCACATGAGGATTTTGGAGGATCGAGGATGAATGGTGTTTTTTGAACATGTTGAAGAGGAGGATGATTTTGGAGGACTGAGGATGAATGCATTCTGAGAGGCAGGACTGTCTGACGATTTTGAAGGATTGAGGCGCTGGGTTTCCTTCATTTGAACATCAGTGCAAAATTTTAGAGGACTTTGGAGGATTGAGGATGGTTCCTAGCAAAAAGGGCCTAGGGGGTTAAGGTTAAGGGTTTCAAAACTTTCAACCCGAAATATTGAAACCTAGACAGTACAAAAAACAAAACAATGTGCCTCCACAAGTTTTTTTTATCAACTTATGAAGATCACTTCTTTTCTCAGTCTGTAGTCCTACTACATGTACAACATTTATGTAAATAGTTAATTACTTTTCAATGTTGTAAATACATTGTACTAAATTCAAGAAATAGAATTTGACTTTATCAACCTTTCTCCAAATTCTTGTCTGTTATAATCAATAAGACATGCTTAAATGTAATTTGACATTACCTTGTTTGTTGCCATTTTCTTAGGTGTTGATGATGCAGAGTCTGAATGTGGCTTAGACCAGGGAGTAACTTGGGACTTCATCGTCTCCAATAATGGTAACATGGCTGAACTTGAACCCCAACTTGCCAAAATTATTGACC